TTCTGAAATCTGTGATATGCCTCAGTGTGTGTTCTTGATGAAATATAGTCTAATGATTATTGGTGACTGAGTAATAGTTGTAGTGATTACACAATGATAATTGCAAGTGCCCTCACATTCAGTATTTATAACCTGAAGCTAACGGCGAGTTTCGTGCGTACGTGAGGTTCTGTCTGTGCCGTTTCCCGCGGTGTTCTGTGAGGAGGCCGTTGTGTCTGTTTGAGTGTGCTGACTGAATGTGATTTAGCCTATACTTGGAAGTGCACTATAGCGTAAAGGCCCCTTATTGCAGCTGCAATAGAAGCATGGTTTATTTTCTTTATGAACATGAAACTTTTGCTCATCTCTCTCTGTTAGCAATCATAATGAATGCTAATGTTGTTGTTAATGAAGACGTGGGAGGGTTTTATACAGTATGTACATGCATTCTCATTCCAGTTCAACTCTGCATCGGTTATCACACGCTTTTCTAAGGTGAAAAGGCACAGCTATACGTTACTAAGGGGCCGTTTACACAACATCGTTTTTTAACTAAAAACTGAAACTTTTGAATGCGTTTTTGGCCGTTCATTTACACGCCAACAGAAAATGGGTTTCAAAGTAGATGTTTTTGAAAGCAATAGCGCTATCATCTCCATGTTACTACAAAAACGACGGTAACGTCATGCGCATGCCTGTTACGCGCGTTCAGTCTATAGGCGCATCGTATTTCTTTACAAAGTGACATCGACATCTGGCCTGTCATGAACAATACAGCGGTTTTAGTCGCAGATCCGTGTGAATGGGGATCGTTTTGGCAACGCTGTTGTCTGTACGCATAATAATAATAAAAAAACGCTAACGAAAAACTTTTCTGTTTTTAGTAGCTACGTCTTTGTCATGTAAACGGACCCTCAATCTGATCTGTAAATTAAGCTAGTCTGTCATCAGATTCAGTTGTTTATTGACTCAAAACTGAATGGATGGAATAGCCATGGAACTTTTGAAAGAATCACAGCTGATGAACTGTACAAACACAATTTTAACTGATGATTTGACACAGAATCCGCACAGGTGAATGTCATAAAACTGTCAAGGTCATAGTTCCCCCCAAAATTAGAAGAAAACAAACAATAAATTGTATTCCTGTAAAGAACAAGAAGCTCATAGTATCTTAAATTATTACATGAAATAATTTTCATGATAATTAAGCACAATTTCACAACCAAATGTCATTACCGCAATCTATAAAATGAAAAATGAAATATTATTTCAATTGTATTTATATCGTAGTATGATTTGTACTTCACTGATGTAGATTTAAATCAAACTAAAATATTTGTATTGCAGTAATTTATAATGTATTTATCATGGCAATGATGTAACAAAAAATCTTAATAGTCATTTTTTTTTTTTTTGTCTTTTGATTTTGTAGTGAAATGGCCTTAGCTTACCTGGACATGTTGTTGTGAAATTCACCCATATGCTTTTTTTGCATTTTATGTACTGATTGTGGGGGGAAATCAGTGCAGAAAGACTTTTAAATGATAAGATGTGTTAAATTCTTATTGAGCACTGTAAGCATTATCATACGAGTCAAAATATGTTAAACCAACATGCAAAGGGTCAAACAGACTTCATTACTTGCTTGAATCAAGGAAATTTATGATTCGAATTATCTTTTCAAAAGACCATTTTAAAATGAACAGATAGATACAATACTTTATACAGATACATGCATTTATTAATTTATCTGTGACATTTTCAGCATACAATTATAATGTTAAAAAATAACAGAATGGACAAAGAACACAAATCTTGTAAAGGAGACGAACTGAACTAAAGATCTGATCACTTTCTCAATACATTTCAATCATTTGTATTGAGCATTTTGGCCCGTTTACATCATCCTGTTAAAGCCAGCAAGTTGGAGTGACAGAACAGAGAATGCATTTAACTATTCCCTTTAGATATTCGTGTGTGTGTTCATTTAAATGATACCAGATAATAAAGGGACTCAGTGATGAACCAGGGATGTGTGAACTTTAAAGGCTGATCAGTGCACATTTTCCAACAATGTACAGCCCTCTCCAGCTCTGCTTACCGAACTAATGTACAAATCTGCCTGTAAATCACCCTCCTCAGCTTAGCATATCAGTGGAAGAACACAGTCTGTACTGTGAAGCCTGCCGCAGTCCTTATCAGAATGTCAGAAATACATAGATATATATTAAACTCTACATTTGTAATAATACTTCTGGTGTAAGTGCTTTTGTGTGTTTTAAGAAGTGATGTTGTAATAACAATGTCCTGACATTATATAGGGCAGGGGTCTCAAACTCAACTTAACTGGGGGCCGCTGGAGGTAGAGTCTGGGTCAGGCTGGGCCACATCAAGTATTCCACAAAAAATAGTATTCAAGTATTCCAAAAAAGGAGCACAACTGATTCAATCTTCATGAGCTGTCCTTCTGACAGTTGAAGTTCATTTTCCTTATACACAAAATCTTTGTGATACTTCATTTTACAAACATTCTTTTTCTTTTCCTTATAATACATATTTGTGATACTTATATTTGCTTATGTCCTTTTTATTTTCTTTATACAACACATTAATGATATTGGATGTTTTTTGGAAGGCACATTTCCTTTTATTATACTTAGAAAAACGATTATTGCTTTTGAAATACAAATATTTGCAGTCATGTCTGCCCGTCTTAGGGCCTGTTCACATATCGCGTCTTTTGCGCGCTCAAGTTCGTTATTTCAAATGTAGGTGCGCGGAATGCGCGCTCATAATGGAAGCGACGCGGTCGTGGTGCGACGCGTTCGTTTTTTCCAAGCGCGTGCGCGCCGCATCGAGATAAAAACATCTCAACTTTTCAGAATGCCGCAAGCGCACCGTAGCTTAGCAACGACAGACGCCTACGGAGCGCAACCGCCCTAGCGCTTTGGAAAAAAGAGAACGCGGCGCGCCTAGCGTTTTCTACGCGTTTTTGGGTGCTAAATGTGAATTCAGCCTTATTTAATTATTTCTACACATGTATAGTGTCTCAGGCAAATTACTGACTTTGCACAAATCAAAGCAAACCTTCTTATCAACCTGCTGGACACATATTACAAGCTCAAAATGATTATTCTCACATTGTTTTAGAGCAGGGGTCTCCAACACGTCGCTCGCGAGCTACCAGTAGCTCGTGGCATGTTCACATATCGCGCTCACATATTTTGCTTGCTCAAGTTCGTTATTTCAAATGTAGGCGCGCGGGAAGCGCGCTCATAAGCGACACGCTCATTTTTTCCAGGCGCAGTAAGTTTGTACTTCGCGGTTGTCTATGACAACTATTGACAACAAACCCACCGTAAGCTGTCATGAGACTATCTATGGTAGCCCAAAAGGGATTAAATTTTTTTTTTTTTTTTTTTTAAAACGCGGTACACGCAACGACGGGCCGCACTAACATTAAACTTTAATGTCAAGTAGGGGGCCACAAAATATCACCCCGCGGGCCGCAAATGGCCCGCGGGCCGCGAGTTTGAGACCACTGATATAGGGCATGCATGCCTTATAGGATTGTAAGGGAAAAAATTTGAAAAGGTTGATGTCTGAAACTGCTGTATCTTTGACAAATCAGGTGTTTATCTCAATGTGAACTCAAACATTTCTCAAATAATGTTGACTCTATAGTGCAACAATCGGGTTCCGGAAGTAAAAACTCCATTCATTTTCTCCATAGGGAAATAGATTTTTTAATGATAACTTATAAACCTTTAAAGACAGCCTTACTGTGAGCTACAAGGTTGTTAAGTGACACTATTTGCTTGAGTATTTCATCTAATATTTTAAGAATATTTCTTCTTAAAATAATTGTTTAACAGTGGGGATTTCTGGTGAAAAACTACATTACCCATGATGCTGCACTGAAAATTACACCAATCAGAGAGTCGGCCAAAACATCTCGTTAGCTCCGCCCACTCCCATGAAGCACTGCGAATGAGTAAATCGAGTCGATCTCCCTATGCTCTCAAAATACTGAAAATATTTTATATTTATGCATATTTTGCAATAAACTTAAAATATATTGTTTCTGGATATAATCAACAACTTTAAATTAATACTTTTATAATTCTCCATCGGTTTTAATTGGATTATGTCATTCGCAGTGCTTCATGGGACTGTAGTTTTTTTTTCCTCACTTATCTTTAAGTACAGTAAAGTGGTCAAAAGTGATGTCTGGCCTTGAAATAAATTTACATCTTCACCCTTTATTCAATATTTTTGTTAAAGATTTTGTAATGTTGCGTAGTTGTGCTTGGAGTCAATTGTTTTGTTTGTGATAACGCAATGAAACATGCAAAATTGTGCGGATATAATTTTTGGGCTGTCATACAAAGAAATTATGAACACGTGCAAAAGAGCACAAAAGAGAACCGTCAGATAATAATAACTGACTATGTTTCAATGTATGCTTTTTCCTATGAGCTTCTTTGTTATGCATTTGTTTTTGCAAAGTCAAATAAAACCTGTAGCTGTAGTTTACCCCCCTTTTATTTTGCCAAATCATTTTGTCAGATAAATACCTTAAGTTTAGTGTTTTGTTCTCCCCTCATATTTAAAAATATAAAATATTTTCCTCACACTTTAATCGAACTTGTAGGGTCATTAAAAACAAACATCACTTTTGGCCACTACTTCACAAAGTCTTGTATACCTTTGTCTTTTTTGTTTGACTTTCAAATTCTTTTCTGCTTCAAATAAACTTTTGTAATGTTGTGATTCACCTCTGATTGGTTTGGTTTGGTGCTTATAACGAGATAAATGAATGAAAAGAAAAAAAAAATACTGAAAAAGTTCTTACTTTTTTTTTTTTAGGAGAAACATTAAACAAATTGATGCTTAAAACTGAGAAATCCATTACGGCACCTGAGCCATGAAAGAAACTTCTGAGCAATAAAATGTGTCCTCTGGGAGGAGACACTACAAACATGTACATATGAATATTTTTGAATATCAAGAAGTGACTGATAACTTGTACAGAATGTGCGGTATCAGTCATGTCATGGCTGGATCTAAGCGCTAACCCGCGTTACAAGAATTTCTGGACAAATGAGGGTGTGTATCATTCCTTACAGGCATTGCAAGCAGTCGAGAAAAGCTCAAAGTAAAGCCTCATCATCACACCCTTCCCTTTTCTCCATTCTCAACCCTGCTGTGTCCACGGTAGCTGTAACTGAATCCCACAGTCTTTCTTTCTCCGAGATCAAATGACATCCAGACGACAATCTCATCGTTGCTTCTCGAGGTTTAAACGTCTCCCGTCTCCTCAGTAACTCAAGGGAACCACCTTTGTAGATTCAGATCCAGAACAAAATACTTGTTTATCCATTAAGTAATACTATACAATGACTTTGTTTTTGTAATTAAATCTCCTCCAGCATTGCCTCCCTCCAAGACATGTCAGAACAAGCCTTGGAAACGATCTCACAATAACCGTCTGTTCTTCATAAAACATTCATTGCGACTGAGTCCAACGCATCTCTTTTTCAGAAAGCGTGGCTTAATAATAATATATACTGATCTTAAAGCGTTTGATCGTACACGAGGTAACAGTTCTGGAGCCTTTATGCCAGCAGAACCCATGGAAGTGTGGCAGCCACCAGTGCCAATAAGGTGAAAGTGATCATCAAGACCAGAAGGCAACAGGAGATGGTGCAAAGTCTCGGTCCATTACTGCCATAGTCCCTCTGCCAGCCTGAAGCTATCCCAATGTCAATAACATCCCCTTCTGTCATGGGTCGACCCGACTCACTTATGATAAACACCTCTGCGTCTTTAGGACAGACGAGTATTCGTCTACATAGTCTACATGAAATCCTCCTTAGACACCTGCCGACACAGCCGAGACCTCCACTGTGAGAACTGTGACCAGAATTCCTTGGGAACACAGGAGTGGGGACGGGTGGCACTTCCAGTGTCCTTCCGATCCTTTTGCCCTCAGCCGGGGAAAATGTCAATCCGTGGTGCTTTGTGATGAATGTCAGGTGTCTGCAGACAGGACAGATGATAGTATCCCGTTTATTGGAGCCGTTCTGGTTGGTGTTCACCAGGGTTCGCACTAAGCAGTCATGGCAGAAGTGATGCCCGCAGCTGAGCGTCCTGGCACTGTCCGTGAGACTCTCGTAACACACCGGACACTCGCTGTCTTCTTGAGCCTCCTCATCCATGACTCTCTGCTTTCAATAGCTCCAGCTGGATCGCCTCTGCTGGCTTTGAGACTTCGGAAACACACACACTGGCACAGGTAACCGATACTCCCATAAGATAACATGCTGACACTCGTGACGACACAGACATTGTCACGCGAAGAATGTTGAAGAACTAGATCTGTTGTTAAAGAAACTGGAAATGGTTCAAAACAGACTGTAGGTATGCTGTTTTTAAGTATTGTACCATATTTGGATGTAAGTTAAGCATGTGCAGGATGGTTTGGTTTGGGTGCCTCAGCTAATGTGTTATAATAGGCAATAAATAGAGACATTTACTTGTAGAATTTACCATTTACCTCTTTTTTTCCCAAAGAGGCCATCTTTGCAGGTACTGGGGTAAGTTAGCCCAAAAATGACATTTGATATAATTCTAATTATTATTTATATATTTTTAAAGTGTTGTTAATGTAAAATACTATTCTATTTAAAAAAAAAAATGTTTAACCATGTAGTTGAATAATTGAATATCCAATAACACAAAGCAGAATCCCAGTAAAAGAGATTCATCTAAAAGGTAAAATGATATCACGTATGCAGGCATAATGAATATTTAATTATTTAAGTGCCCATATTTTATTTGACGAAACGCCACCAACATTATGAATGATTGAATGATGAAACTGAATGATTTCTCTCAACTAACCTATAGGTTTTAATAAAACTGAATTGTACATCTAATTAATGGAAATACTGAACAGTAACCCCATCAAATGCAATAATTATTTAATTTAAAAATAACACTAGTAACAACATGCACTTCTGTGACAATTCTGGCTTACCATCTTTTTTATACCACGGAGCTATTTTTATCTTTTCACTTCAAAATAAAAAATATAACTTTTACTCCACAAATCTAAAAACATTGATGTGTCCACAAATTCCTCAGTAACAAATAGACATACAACAACTTTGATATTCAGTATCACTATTTTCCAGAGACACAACATTAGATCAATTAACCTCTTTTTAACCTCTCCTAACTGTTTTGCCTAACTAAATCTCACAAATGTCGATATTCAGATGAAATGACAAAAATATGTTTTAATTTTTTATTATTATTATTATTATGATTAGCCTATTATTAATCAGGCAGACAGGAACTTTAGCTACCGTGAAGACCTAACGCGCCATCGTGTGGTGTGATTTACAGATGAGATTTGGTCAATAGTAAAAAATGGAACATGAATCTCTGATCTTTCCCCGTTTTAAAAGCACTCATATGCGCTGATCGCTTCAGTTTCAGATTCAGAGGACCTTTACTATTTACTGTACCTCATAAACAAGAACGCGCCTTGTGAGCGTTTCAATGACGTTAAAATGACGCAAAGACGCGGTGTCGTCATCTTACCGGAAGTTGAAGAGGGAAATCAGTGGAGTCGCGTTGGCATTAAGTATCAGCCGACGCTCGAGCTCAGGGGAGACGCCGAGCCTGTTCGCAGACTTCAGGAATAGGACATGAGAAGGTAACGTTACAGTTTCTTGACCTTTATGATTTCATTTATGATCATAAATCCTGCTCAAAGCGCGGTAATGAAATGAAAGGCTTTATCATTTAAACAGACTGTTCTCTTAAGCTGTCATTCTCTGGCCACTGAAGACCAACAGTTGCTGAAACATGTTTTTTTTTCAAGTGCCGGTTTCTTCTGGCGAAACTGTTGCAGTTTAAACGTATTTGATTAAACGATTCATATCGTGGGGAATTTAAACCGCACCTCATTGATCTGTGATAGTTATAATTATTGAAATGATATAATAGTCTGTATTGGGTTTTATTTATAAACGTTGGTCAAATCCGCTGGCCTGCCGGGACCTAACCTAACATCAACCTAACGTTAAATGATTCACGTGCGGTTTTCGATTCTCAACGAATCAACGGGACGTATTTGCTAATGTTTAGTTTTCGTTCTCGTGGTTGTTTTCATATTGAGTGTTGACCCCTGGTCGTCTTCTGATTTGGTAATCTGACCTCATTGGTCTTAGACGTCTTAACCTTAGCTAAACAAATTCATGACTAAAGTCATGCACATCTTCACATAGATATTTGTTAGTAATACATGAACATTATGTTTGGATTATTTGCTGTTTACATTATCTGATTAGGTTCTTTCATCTGTTGTCATTTGTCTTGGGCTTATAACATTCATGATAAATAGGCTACTAAAGTTAGCCTATGTCTTGCACATCTATACAAATATTAATTGTACCTTTAATGTAAACATCAATGTTTGTGCTTGTGTTCACAGTTTACATTTTGTGACATTTGGGTTTGATGAGATTTCTAATGTCATTTCATTATCTTTATCCAAAAAATATAGGCTACTAAATTAACACAAAAAACTTATGTTATAGCCTACTAAGTATTTGTAACAAAAAAAAAAAAGTATATTGACGCTACTTGAAAGCAGTTCAATGGAAGTACAGAGATTTCCTCCCCAAATCTTTTAGGATATGGCACATGTTCCAAGTGCATTACTCAGCAGGATATTGTGTGCTGGATTGTGATTTTGGGAATAATGTCATCCTTAGAAAAAAAATCTGGCCTATCCTCTAGTCCTCTGACTGTGTGTAAGTCACTGGCAAAGAGTGTAGGTTGCGGAAAGCATTGCATTAGACAGGAACCATCCCACTGTCCTGTGGTGCGGGACAGGCGCTCTGTGGCCGGACAGATGGCCTCACTGTCAGGAGTCAGTTTGGGAGGGGTGAGGAACTCTGCGTGGCGGCTTAAGACATTACAAATGATCACAATTGAAATGACATCAGCTTTGACTGCCCTCAGGAGTGTGAATCCCATTGGAGCCAAATTCTGCACATAGTTGGAAAACACTGCTGTTTATGTCTTTGTTTGATTGATTGATTGATTGATTTGTACAGGACAGGTGTGATTTCTTTGCTGTTTCATTAGGGATATTTTTGATTATTTTTTAAATGAATATTTGTACTTTTCTGCTCAATCTGTTGTTTAATATCGAGTCCAACCAATAAATGGCACCATTTGTTGAGTCTCTAAAGAATATACCCAACAACACCTCTACACAACTGTGTTCAACATGAAACAGTTATTCACATGTAAAATAACTTATTCAATTTATAGTTTGGACTTTTTTTATCATTTGACTCTGTACAGCCACCTCTCCTCAAGTTAATGATGTATTGTGTAGCATTTTAAACGTTAAGTTTGGGTGTATTCACACCTGCCTTGTTTGGTTCGATTGAATCGAACTCTAGTTCGTTTCCCCCCTTGGTGCGGACCTTTTGGGCAGGTGTGAATACAGCAATCGAACTCGGGTGCGGACCAAACAACCGAACCGAGACCCAGCTGAAGAGGTGGTCTCGGTACGGTTCCAAACGAACTCTGGTACGGTTCGTTTACGGTGTGAACATGAACCGACCCAATTGCAAGAAAGCACTGCGCCTTTGAGTTAATAGGCTTCCGTAGTCGGAGATTTTGGCATAATGGTTTGTGTTATTGTTGTTCAAGTGCGAAAGAGAATTCCATTCCGGCGCGCTGTCGGCCACACGATACTGTTGCGCGTCTTTCTGCGCGTCGTGTGTGCATCATTGGAAAGGAATGAATGAATGAGTGTGTGCATCAGGACATTCACATACAGCGCGTTCTCTTTAGTCTAATCGCGCATAGATGCAAAAAAAAGCTTTTGCAGTTCATATAATGTAACGATAGTTACAATACAAGGATGACGCTGCATTAAACTGGACAAACTTAAATCGCAAGCGTTAACATTGACAGCACTTGTTAGCAGTAGCCTATATACAATAAGAATCTCATTATTTGAATGTGTGAACATAGCCCCTCTCTATGAATCAACTTTATACCTTATCCGTCTTCTGCGCAGTTTCTTCATATTGCGTTTGTACAGAATAACACAAAATTAGTAAAATAACAAATATTGCAGTACGAAATATCTCCATGCTGAACCTTTTTTGCACTTCCTGATTTCCCTACTTGAGAATCCTTGTCCAATGAATGGACGACCTTAGCACACATGTGGTTTTGTTGACAAATTTTGGTTCACTTGCAAAAAGAGCAGTGTGAAAGCGAACCGTACCAAAAAAAAAAAAATTTGGTCCGGACCAAAGCAAGTGAACTATCGGACTTTCCTGGTGTGAATACACCCTTAGAAATGACTTCAAACAAAGTAAGTTTAAAATTTTGACATCCAGGGCTGGAACAGTCATACATGAATTGGAAAAACCTTATACTATAAGTCACCATGAAATCAAAATTTACAATTCTTTTTGTTGTGGAATATTGTTAGAGGTCAATCAATTTGATCGGTTTTGCCGATTAATCGCCACCGATAACCGATTGCTTGAATAACCGGTTATCGGCAAAAATCCATACCGATAGTTTATCCTGGTTGCATCCATTGCTGGAGCGAATGAGAAGGGTGCGCTGTCATTATACAGTATGAGAGTGACCTCTAGAAGCGAAATAAAAACTATCACTGGCACCTCGTGGTGTTTGTTTTGACACGTGAGGCTGCGCTCTATACAGAGCAGGACACTTCCATGCTGTGACCTTTGTGTAGATATTTAAAGTCGGCCATCTTTAAGCATGACTTTTTGGATTTATATGATTGCAACACTTACTTAATTTACATTAACCAAGGCTAATAAAAGTATTGTTCATTGTTAATTTCATCATTAACTAATACATTTTTACATTTTAAAGTTGTAGCCTATCTCTTGACATTACTTGCACTATGAACTAATGAATGATCAAGGTAAAATTAATTGGCTTTATTATTTTTATATTAAAAAAAAGTGCAGTACATTTTCATGGTTCTGTACTATGTTTACATTTTAAAGGTCAGTACTATTTTATGTGTTATGTTTGTTTTTCAGTGTCCATTTTAAAAACTAGGCTATAGCCTAGGTTAATCAGTTGATGAATCAAACATGGTAGCCTAATCTTTATCGGTAAAATCGGCCGATCGCTAAATATTGCATTATTAACAATTAATCCAAGCACATCATTATTTTAATCTTTTATTTTTTATTTATTTTTATTTTTATTTTGTACTTTGTATATTTATATGTATATGCAGCAACATGTAGTCCAAAACAAATTTCCTTTCGAGGATAATAAAGTATACTACTACTACTACTACTACTACTACTAATCCATGGTCCTTCATAATCTTTAATCAAAATATTAATTACTCACCCTCATGCTGTACCAACCCCGTAAGACCTTCGTTCATCTTCGGAACACAAATGAAGATATTTTTTATTAAATCTGAGAGGTGGATCACTCCCCCATAGGCTTCCTAAGGGAGTGAAACTTGACGGCCCAGAAAGTCATTGAAGAAAATGTTTAAATATTTCATGTGCCTACAGTGGCTCCACTATAAGTTTATCAAGCGACGAGAATACTTTTTGTGCGGAAAACAAAACAAAAAAAACGACTTTATTCGACTATTCCATTGCTTCCTTGTGGGCCTGAGACGAGAGTTCAAGAGATTTCCAGGACGCATGCGTGAGAACTGACGTTCTTCTTCGTAATTAATGACTTAATTTTCATTTTTGGGTGACCTATCCCTTTAAGTCAGAAGTTTCAAACCAGATGTTAGCTTGCTTGTTGTACTTCCATTACAATAATGAGGGTGCGATAGTTTTACTTACTTTAAATGTGCCCAATTGTATGCCTAGTCATTTGCAACAGCCAGGAATGTAGAAGGTGTGGGAAAGCGCTGGGTCACACCATTTGACACTGCTGAGAATCCGGAGAATTTATAGATGTGTGGAATATTTGGGACTGTTTTAGAAGCAGAACAGGTCCATCTGCTACTAGTTTAGAGGCCCTGTGTTGAGCGAAACTGATGTCTTCGGCTCACTGCTCTTCATCATGTCAGATCTAATGAGCGATTGCGCGCCACTAAATGACATACGATAGGAATTAATTGAGTCAAAGTTTCTGAAAAACACTGGATCTCCGTGCTTGTTAAACAAATGATTTCCCAAAACAAGACAAGGATGAAGAATGTTAATGAGATGTTGTTTTAGTCACACATTACTTATAGATGCACATAAACGTTCAAGTGTGCTTAATGTTTTAAAAAGGGCAATATCTGTAAACATTTATCTTAATCTGAGCAAGCTTTTAAGCAGGGAAGGACTGCTCTGTTGTCTTACTGTGATAAATGTTTTCACATGTGATCTATATGAAGGCTTATTTCATGCCAAACTGAAAATGTTGTCTTTTACCCACCTCCATTTCATTCTAAACCTGTATTACTTTCTTCTGTGGAACACAAAAGGAGACCTTAGACAGAATGTCATTGCTTTTACCAAACAATGACCAGGTAACAAAACTGAGACATTTCTGTCCCACCATTGAAAGTCCTGCTTACCAAAACTTTGAGGCTCTGAAAAGTCGTGTTATAAAGACATCGTAAAAGTAATCCATATGAATCCAGAGACATGATTTTAAGTTCTATCACTTCAGCAATTGTGTCTCTTCTAAAGACTTTGAGTAAACTGCCCAATTCATATAGATTAGCCTATATTCTTGTAAACTTTTTGAAGCTTATGTTTTGGTTGCATGGACTTTTAATGGTGAGACAGAAATGTCTCTGGTTTCATTAGTGATGTCTTGATGTTTCTTTCGCAGAGGAACGAGAGTCTATCTCTTAATTCCCCTTCTGTATAGGATTTAAATTAGTCTGGTGGTGTTAAAATCTAAAATGTTGAGGGATGCAACCTGAAAAACTGTGAGCTTGCAAAGAGCCAAGCCAACTAAAAATGTTATTGGGCTTGTGTCAAATGAGACCACCATGGGATCTGTTTGCGGGGTTGTACCAGGACAAAACTGCAGTTGGAGGTGCAAATGAACAGACTCGGTGTGTCTCTCAGGAGTCAGGACTGCTCTAATTCCCATCTGCTTCTACAGGTCTCCACGATGGACACAGAGATGATGCCGAAATTCTCCTCAAAAGATGAGGAAATCGATTACTGGAAATGCTTGTCTCTCAAATACAAGAAGAGGTAAGCTGAAGTCATTAACTACTAAATATAGCAACTAGCTGAGCTTTTTACAACTGTGCAGTTTACCTTCACATAAAAGCCATGGGGAGTCCGCTGTTTATGTTCTAACAAACATTTTTTTTTTAAATGGCCATATTCTTTTAGTTAAACTTTGGCTGGCTGAGGCAGTAATGGTTGTTTCTGTGTTCATAGTCATACCTACAGTCACAAGCCCTGCAAGTGGTGAATGGCTGTAAATGTGACTATAGCACTTTGTCATAGAAAAACAGAGAAGATGCCACAACATGCAGAGCCTTTCACTGCTCCTGACAAAAGAGATGCACTGAAACACTGTGGAAATGCTCCACAGTTCCAGTTATTGTGTTGGGCATCTCATAATGTCATTTGTAAAACATGTGATGTAACGTTATAGTCAAGCTTGATTTCCTTTCACAGTGCTTGAAGTGAAGAAGTCACAAGAACTATATGGTGGGAAATGCATATCTATGTAGTTTCAGGCCCAAAATGCACTCTATGCAAGTACGTGATTTGCCTGCATATCTTAGACTACTCCTCGGAACCCTTTAGGTGGTTTCATATATCATTCTACAACCCAACGAATGCAGATTTAACGTTCACTCGGCAAAAACAGCCACCAACCAACCAACGCTAACAGGGTTACTGATCCGACAAAACCTGACGAATGTACCTGTTGCTGTTGGTCGATCTATGTTGGTGCAGTTTGAATTGGACTTAAATGTACACAGAGATTCAATTTTCTTTCAATGTTTCTTAACACGCTTAAGTACTCTTTTAAAAAAAATGATGTTAAACTTAGTTTTGCCTTGTAGTACATTTTAAATCATTGTTTTAATAATCTTTTTGTTTTAAAGTGCACTTATTTTGGTGTGTTGCCTTCCGTACTAAAGCACATGTGGATTTAAAAGTATTGTTTAGGTGTTATTTAGCTCAGAGTGTATTCTTGACTTCTTGAAAAGTGGAGGGAGAGTGTCTCTGATCTAAAACAGAGCTGGCAGGCAGTTGGTCCTCTGCTGGCACTAATGCTGACCGCGAGCCTGCTGGTGGTCTCTGTCTGTTTCGCTCTGAACTCCTACACAGTTTCAACACGTGCACATGCTCCTCCTGGGCTGTGGTTTTACTGTCTCGGAGTCTTGGTGGAGCACAGGAAGTTCTCAAATCCCAGGAATTTCCTGCTGAGGAAGGAGCAGAACATGCTTTCCTGGAAATAGTCACACAAATGAGTCTGCCTATTAACTCACTTGACGGAACATCAAGCCTTAAAAGACGCAAGCAAACACCCAACCACCCACAACATCCTGACATCATGATTGGTGAGAAAACACCACTCACATTAACTTGGTTTATATGTGCTTTTGGGGTCGTTAAGATTTTTTAGTTTAAAATGTTTTTATTAAACATTATAAATGTCTTTACCGTCACTTTTGATCAGTTTAATGTATCAATGCTGATAAAAAGTATTATTGGGGAAGAAAAAAAAAACTTACTGACCCTCAAACTTTTGAACAGTAGTGAGTAATACCTCCAATATGGACTGAATGTGCATTTGAGCAGCTTCCTGTTGTCGAGTGAGTGTTTTGTGCTGAGGAGGCAGGCCGCACGTGTCTGATATTTCAGGGAAGGAGGGAGGAGGTGACAGATTTAAGGTTCCCTCTGCACATTACACAAGGAGGCTTGAGGGAAGTGACCAGGGTTAAAGGGATGTGTCATGTCAAACAGCACCACATGGCTTCGGAAACGCAGTCTAAAAACAACCAGGACCCTGCATTCAGTCTGCTTAGCTCATTTCCTGCCACCAGACCGCACTATTCATCTCCAGCCGGTCTGTGACCCCTGACCTTCAAGGGTTCAAAGTGAACATTTGGCAGTGCAGATGCATGAAGTAGATCTTTTCAACAACTGCATCATTTCTGGCCATGAGATGCTCCGACTCACTATCAAACTACAGGAACTGCTGAATTCTTCTTTGTGATGTGTGGTGGGTTACACGGTGTCGTGGATTTAACTGGGTGTCGTTTTTGGACCACTTTTAGGACCTCCAGTCTGAACGGCCACAGTGACTGTAATTCATCTGCTTTAGCACCAGCTGTCAAGGCCTAAATGCTTGTAGCGTGTCAGCTCTTTGTTGCAGTCTGGGTGTCAATTTGCATTGCATAGTTAATGTGATGAATGTGCCGCCACTGTTCCAGATGGCTGGTGACGTGTGATTGTTTTATATGTTTGCGTATCTGCAGTTGTCATGACGCTCAGGAGGAGCTGCAGGAGTTTCAGGAAGGCAGTCGGGAGCTGGAGGCCGAGCTGGAAGCTCAGCTGGGTCAGGCTGAACACCGTATCCGAGACCTGCAGTCAGAGAACCAGCGGCTGAAGAGCGAGGTGGACACACTCAAGGTAGACGAGATCTGGAATTTCCTTGCTCTTTTGAAAGGACACAAAAAATCCAGCCAGGCCATTTGTGGAAAGAAACCAAGCTATGAAAATGGGTTGTTCAGAAATCATCACATTATTGGAGAGAATCTCATAAAACCTGTCTAGGACATATTTCATTCTAATACATAAAGAAATAGTAAATTATATTCTCCTTATAATGAAGCCTATTTGGGATGCATGTTTGCGATCAAGATTTGTTCTTTTGAGAAATTGCTTTTATTCAGCAAGGACGAATTAAATTGATCAAAAGTGATACATTTATGATGTTATAAAGGAAAATTACTATTTTTAATGTTTCTGAAAGAAGTGTCTTATGCTCATCAAGCGTGCATTTATTTGATAAAAATACAGAAGAAAAAAACTTATATTGTGAAATATTATTACAATTTATAATAATTTCAATTTTAATATACTTTAAAATATAATTGATTTCTGATGCAAAGCTGAATTTTCAGCATTATTACTCCAGTCTTCAGTGTCACATGATCCTTTAGAAATCATTCTAATATTCCGGTACTGTATGTACATAATGGTAGTATTTGTTATGTGTATTTCAGTTACGTAGTTATATTTTGGAATTTTTATTCCAATACTGTAAGCAATATTCAGTAATCTAGTGAGAATCACTATTGAGGCCTTGTCCACATTAATACGTTTTGTTGGAAAACGCATATTTTTCTCTCCGCTTGAAATTTCAAAACGCTGCTTTCACATTGTAGTGTGGACTGTGAAAATGGAGGCTTTCGAAAACAATGACGCATTTTTAGTCATATGAATCATTCAGCCTAGAGCAAGAAGGTGGACAACGTTGTACCACAGTTATTTTGGCTGCTCTCCATTTTGATAGCATTGTTAAAGATTAATGTCAACTTTTTCTTACCCACAGCAACGCCTTTGGTACGTCTAAGTAAATAAACGCCTGACAGAAATGACACGTCAAAGCGTATTATGTTTTACTCATGCGCAGTATTATGGAATAATGGATATTGGTATAATGGATGTAAGCGTTTTCAGAAGATTTAGTACCTAATGATGGCGATATCTCCACACACCTTTAATCTGCAGTTTTATCTCTAAAAGATCAGCAGAGCCCAGTGTGAGAGCTGTCGAGGGTCTCGGTTAATCCCAAGTGCGCTGTAATTGGATGTTCGGATGAAGAGGAAGAAAATAGAAGGCTAATGGCTCAGCAGAAAAGTTCAGTTATAGCACAGTTGTTCCTCTAAGACCCTGACAGAAATATCTTGATAATGGCTTGAGTTTAAGTAGACACTTGATTTATACAGCTAGTTTATATTTGGCCAAGGTCTGCTTACCCAAATGCAAATAACATTTAAACTGCTTGCTTGGGCTGTCCCAGAAAGCACGGTCATTAACTGATCACATTCTCCAAAACATAGAACTAGCCTTTGCCCACTGTCCTTGCATTTATTTTGGAAAATATAGGACACTCATTATTGTACCACGGTCCAAAACAATATGAATTTAGACTAAAAGAAATGGGGTGGATAAAATAGGTTATCTACAGGAGAAGTCGGGAAGGTTGCCATGTGCACTGACATTCCTCATTTCCATGTTCCTCATCTAATGACAGTTGACCAATAATTAAGACAAATGGAAGTAAAACAAATATTGTTTGTCACCATTGTGCCACTGCAATGAGAAAAATATACCCACTGTCATAAGGAAGTTTCCAAACAATGTTTGAGCTACACTTATTAAGCCAGAACATCTCTGATTTGGATAGGATTGTGCTCTCTGTAGTTAAGGCTGTAATGTATGGATGTGTGCGTTATGGAAGCTCATGTGCTCTTGATACGGTTTTGCTTGATACAAGTACACGCAAGAAAAAGTATTCATGTCTGAATTGGAATTCTTTGTGAAAACCATCAAACTGCATTTTAAAGCTGCAGTCCGTAGCTTTTTTTGGGTTAAAAATGATCCAAAATACATATTTGAGAAAATGCATAACCAGCGAGTGTTCAAAACTATCTGCTTGCCTTTGCTCGATTCAAAGCGGTAAGCTTGTAATAATGTTTTTAATTCCAGTGGTACTGGTGGATTTCCGCGGGAGATTCGAGCTTGTCTTTGCGTCATTACGTCACATCTGTACACACAAAGAAGGAGTCTCGGATAGTAGGCCATATTGCGTGTGAGGATGTTGGAGGTGGAGATTTATAGCCTTTTCTCACAACACTTGATATAATTAAACTTATCAATTTGATGGCGGATCCAGAAAGGTTCAAACGACGATCATCAGTGACAACTAGAGATTCACCCGTTGTAAAATGCAAAAGACTTCGTTTGGACTCGGAGTGGCTACAGAAAAAAGAGATTGCGACCGGACCCATGCGGAAACAAGAATGCATATCGCCCGGAAGGACATTAAATGTAGTCACGCAATGCTGACGTTGTTAACATTAACAATTTGAGAACAAAGTATAATTTGAACAGTTTTGTGTGATATAAGTGATTTTTAAATTTAATCAGCAAGATTTACTGCAATGTCAGAACCAAAGTGGATGTTACTTACTTGTTCAGATGACATTTTCCGGTGAAAATTATTATGTTGGTCATACTTCCAAAAAGAATAATCTGTGATTCTGAATGCCAGTATCCACACCGGCACGGTTACTGACAGCCGCACACTCTCCTCAAACATTGTGTTCATCCGTGCTGTGCCCGTGTCGAAGTACAACTCACGTAAAGTTGATAATTCCGCGAATGACTGCAATTGCAGATTTCGAACAGAGATGGCGACAGAGAGGAAAAACTGCAGACTGCAGCTTTAAGTAAAAGTATTTATAGCTGATGTTTTCTCACCAGCCATTGTCAGAAAGTTCAAATAGTTTATGAGGGTTGGTGACTCAGACTATGTCTCCCCTGTGTCCCTGACTGCAGGATAAACTGGAGCAGCAGTACGCCCAGAGCTATAAGCAGATATCCATGCTGGAGGACGACCTGGTCCAGACGCGTGGCATCAAGGAACAGCTGCACAAATATGTCAGAGAGCTGGAGCAGGCCAACGACGACCTGGAGAGAGCCAAGAGGTACACGACAACATTTTGTCATTCTAAACTAACTTTGCTCTGATTTGCTAGACTACTTTAGTATAGACCATTTAGAAATGGGTCTAGACTAGCTTACACGGCACTACTGTCCAACAAACCCTGACCAAACTACATGGAGCAAGTGTTTTGCTAAAGGTATATTTACAATGATGGTCTGGATTTGTGCAGGGCCACCATCACATCTCTGGAGGACTTTGAACAGAGGCTAAACCAGGCAATAGAGCGGAACGCATTCCTGGAGAGCGAACTGGACGAGAAGGAGTCACTCCTGGTCTCAGTGCAGAGGCTAAAGGATGAAGCTAGAGGTACTTTGCTACATGGCTTGACATTAACTTTTTTGCTCACCCAGCCACTGTGGCTTGTGGTTTTCCAAAGTTACTTGCCACTCAGCATTTTCACTGGCCACAATTTTGACATCAATACCATGGGGAAAAACTGCCATATATATTTTTTTAGTTTTATCTCATAATTTGGCTGCAGGTTTATTAGGCTGCTGTCACTTTAAGACCTGACGCACGGATCCATTTTACTGTTACCACCTGCGTTTTCTTTCTCAACTGTTTACGTTCACTTAAAACATAACTGAATTTGTTTACGTGAACACTCGGCAAGACTGGCATTTTGACATTATTTTGTGTGTATTTGACTGCTTAAGCGCAATAAGCACTGAAAAATAACTCAGTTTACTGCTGAGAGGCGGCTTTGTGCACGCACTTTGACCAAAAAAATCGGCAGGAATAAGTAAAATTATGCGCAATACGCACAATATTCCCACGCCAAAATTCGAGCCGCCAAAGTGGTTAGTAAGTGTGACTGCGTTAGACGCCACTGCTGAAATTCACGCGCATTTGGCAGGTTTCCAGGTGTTAATGTCAAGCCCTGCTACAGGACACGCTTCATTGCAGCACTGCAATTAAAGGCATGCAGCTGACACAAACTGACTCATTGCTTAGCTTTTCAAGGAGATTAAGCGGAAGTTACGACCAAGTTTTCTTCCCTTTCTTGCAATTTACCAAATGAGGAAGAAACATGTTGGACAGGACTAGATTTTTTCAATTGGGAACGGATTGTATTGTAGAAGTGTCCCATGTAAACGAAATGATTTCTGTATGGTTGCTGGAGGGGAGGAATTGAAACTCGTGTGGCTTTTGGACGACCTTATTATGAGAGCACATTAATTTTTAAAAATGAGTTGCGTGCATAAATAATTGATAAGAAACACAACAACGTTCCATAAAAAAAAAAAGCATTGTCGAAGCAAATTTTGACTTGACAAAAATGTTGGCATGAACCTTAATGAACTTACAATAGAAGTCAAGGTATTCTGGACAGAAATCGAAACCGAAATCTCCACGGACAGGTTTTTGTAATGCCGACTTATCAAACAAACATGTTTTTCTGTGGAAATCAATATGTTTGCAGATGCTATCAAGTTGAAGAATTGAACAAATCATTCCATTTCAGTTTGTTCTGGTTTATCAGTGCAAAATGTGCATGTTCACGTAGACTTGCGGCAAGAGTTGGCTGTACGAGAGAGGACTTCAGATGTTGTCAGGATGTCGGCCCCCAGCTCTCCCACCCTAGACATTGATAAGACAGACTCTGCCGTGCAAGCGTCCCTGTCCCTCCCGGCCACACCTGTAGGGAATAAGACCATGGACCACCCTTTCATTGCTTCCAAAGGTTGGTGTTCTTTGTCATTGAGTTTATTAGTATCAACCAATAGCCGATTAACAGTAGAGGTGGTTCCGTTCAAAAAATCTACCAACAGTCTTGGATACATTTTCTTTTTGTTTGTATTTGTATGATTTTATTTAAATAATAATATCAACATTGTATTAGCCATTGATATTCATGTTATTTTAGCAAACTCTTTTAGCTGTCTGACTGTTTTTCTTCTCTCCAAAGCGTTGACCAATGGCTATGGAAACTCTCCCCTCACACCATCTGCACGCATCTCAGCCCTTAACATCGTTGGTGAGCTCCTGCGGAAAGTTGGGGTAATTCCTGAATACTTTAATCGTGAAACCGATCGGTGTACGACACTTTAACACTTACAAATGATAGCTGTATCAAAACAGATTCAAAATGAAATACTGATGGGATGTCTGTTTTTGTGCAGGCTCTCGAGTCTAAACTAGCTGCCTGTAGGAACTTTGCCAAGGACCAGGCAGCAAGGAAAAGTTACGCCACAGGAAATGGAAACCTCATCAACAGCAACGCAACCAAGTTCTCTCATTCACTCCACACTACGTATTTTGACAAGACGTAAGTGTTTGGATTGCTGTTGTCTGCTTAGCAGACTTGCACAGGTTGACATTTGTGAAACATTTGTGTATGAAATATATTTAACAGATATTAATCCCGAATCCTGTTATTGAGAACATATAAACAATATTAATTTCGTTTGACGTTAATAGTGTGTGACTACCATGAAACCAGAAAACCTTATGTCCGTTTTGCATACTTCAAACTAGGGATGCACGATATAGGATTTTGGCCGATATTCGATATGCCGATATTTTCAAACTAATTTTGCCCGATACCGATATATTTGTTTGTTTGTTTTTTAAGTGCAAAAAAAGCTTATTAAAGCTTCTATTAAAGTTCAGTCAAGAGCAGTAAGTGATTTCCTCTGTGTTTTGTTGTTTTATTAACATTAACCGGATTGTTCTCCCAAAAATTTTAATTGTCATCATTTACTCTCAAGTTTCTTTCTTCTGTTGAAAATAAAAGTTATTTGGAAGAATGTGGCTAACCAAACAGTTGCTGTACTTCAGTGACTTCCATAGTATATTTAAGCACAAGAAAGAAATGAATACAGGTTTGGAACAACATTAGAGTGAGTAAATAATGACAGAATTTTTATTTCTGGGTGCAGTATCTCTTTAAGGACAAGCGGCAGCATATTATTACTGTCTCTTTAAGAACTGCACGCGACGCGTCTAATATACACGCATTTGACAAGCAGATTTTCTCTGTTTGCTTTCACTTTAGACATAACCAACTTTATGTAAACCTTGTGTGTATTTGACAGTATCAGCGCAATAAGACTCGAAAGATCAGTCCAGTATGCAGGCGCTGTGACAGGCTTTTAGTTCCTGTGAGCGTCGGGTGTAACGCGCTCAGAAAAGCACGTTAGAACAGCGCATCAGCACGTGAATGACATGTTTACCTAGCAAGACTTTGACGCACATGTAAATAATAAACTTTTGTGAATTGCGGTGTCCCGTGACCGTGAGTGTAACTCTACCTCTGCGTTTACATGTGATGTGATGTGAATGTACGTCGCGTTGTACAGTATGTTGAGATGAAGGCGCCAGAATTGAACTGATAGAATGCACGATACTATGATTTTTCTTCAAAAGCAGATCGTGGAGACATTTTAATCGTCCACGATCAAAAACCACCTGAGACGCACACCCCTAGTTGGAAGTTTAAGTTGCTGGCGCTCGTTCGCGGTCGTCACGTACGCATAGGAAACGCCACCCTATCGGCAAGGCTCATCGGCAGAAATATTCATATCGGCCGATGATGGTCATTTTAAGCTTTTATCGGCCGATACCGATGTTGTCCCGATATCATCGTGCATCCCTTCTACAAACTACCATGAAGTGATAATGGTGTCCTCTTTGATAGTTGATGATAATAGTGCTCTGATCACATCCAGGTTGTGTGTCATGGCTAAAGCAGCGTGTAGCTTACATGAAAATATTATTGGTGAAAAGTTCTATGGTCTGGTGTCATGGCATCAGTATGAGTGTTTATTGATGTTTTGCTCATGGCTGTTGTTCACAGGACTATAAATGGACTGGACCCTGGTGCCCTGACCGCCATGGCTCCCCCGCGAGCCGTGTCTCCTCCCGGCATGCTCCCTCTCAGCGTGTGACAGACGGTCCACCTCCACACAAGCTCGGACACATGGAAATGGAGAGGACACTCGAGAGAGAGAATGTGTGAGTGTGTGCGTAAGAGAGACTGAGATGACATGCCTCCAGCGCGTCTGACAGATACATGTCAGGCGTGGGGGTGCCGTTCCTGTGAGCGTCCCGCGTGGTTCTCTTGTTCTCACGAGGTCTCACTTAAAGCCAGCAAAACGACAAGGGTCCGAGTCGGACCGCAGCTTCAGTGTGTGTTTTTAGTGAGCCGCACAATTTAAAAGATGTTTAGCAAAATATAAAAACGATTAAAAAGAACGAAAAGGGATTTTCTTTGAGGTGAACGTCACTGTATGCTGAACACAGATGAGTGTGTGTGTGTGTGTGTGTGTGTGTGTGTGTGTGTGTGTGTTGTATGAGTGTTTGGGTTATGTGTGAGATCTGAACGTCCCCTCAGCCTTGATTTACATGTTCACTGTTTTCAGGTTCAGTAAAGGGTCCTAATGTGGAGGTCAGCAGATGTGTTTAACTAGAATGAATGCAAGAAAACCTTCATGTTACACAACTTCACCTACCTTTAAAAGCTCCTTTAATGAATTATTGACCCAGCTGGCTGGACACCAGTCTGCATAATGCAACCTCTTTTAGGGCTTCAAAAGATATGTATGGTTTCAAGACTAATTTCTGTATTTGCCACTCTGTACTTCCACAGTTCTAAAGTGTTGACTGTGTAAGATCTCATGGTCATCATCACCCTGTATTGACACACAAACTGCTTTGACTGTAAATCAGTCTCTGTGCAATGTGACCGTCGTCACAGAACTTTGTCAGCGGTTGTACGAACCTCATTTCTATCCCATGTGCCTCTGGATCTGCTGGTGAGTTTGATATTCACTGTTTATTTATTTCACTCATGGAACGGAAGCCAACCTCTGTTTGTCACAGTGTTTAAGTTCAGTTAATTTATGCAAAGCTTCAACTTCATGTATAGGAGCACTTGTTAGTGTTTATTTACCCCTTTGAGTCTTTGATTTCACACGCACTTTTGTTGGCTGTCTTGTTATATTTCATGTATATAGATTTGTAAACATAGCAGCGCTGCCCAGTAAAGCCTGTAGATACTAAAATTGGGCTGATTTGCTGTTTAATTTATTTCAGAAATGTTATGGCATGTTTTGACAAGGATTGAATTTTACATACTGTGCATTGGTTTAAAAGCATATATCAAGATGTAAAATTGGTTGTCTAATATGCGCAAATAAATAAAGGGATACAATGAGTGTTGAGTAAAGGTTTCTTTAATAATCAATCATACAGTAAACAGCAGTCTGGGAAATTCATGAAATTTTACAAGTGTGATCAAGTCATCAATGTTATGCAATATGGTGTTCGTCTGCCTTCAGAAATGGTTGACTAATCTATAGTTTGACCTATAGTACCCAAGCTGAAACTATTAGACGCTTACTATATAATTTAATGTAGATGCTTTCACAAAAATCCACTTAGTTTACTGTATAATCATGGTAATAGGGTTGACATTTTAAGAGAGTGACCTGACAGACGTTAAACCATTTCTTGAGCTCTATAAGGAAGGACACTTGGATGGATGTCAATATCTTATTTAGATTAGTTGAGTCATTCCACGAAACGGGTACGATTTGGACTTACACATTTTTGAATTTTTTACCAACATGTATTACTTTTCTGAACACCCCACAACATTAATGACATATTTAACTTCCAGAAAAACATATTTTCCCACCTCAGGCATTAAATACTTATTATTATTGGTAATTATTTTAAGATATGGGCACTATGAGTCTTCAACCCCGTTATGGACACTATGGGAGCTCTCTGAATATAATTATAAAATATATTTTTAATGAAATCAACATTTTCCTATTAGTCAGATGTCCCTCACACTAATTCAGTAATTGCAAATGTAAAATTTACATATCATTTCACACTTATGCTATACTAAAGCCTGAAATGGGCACTTTGTGTGACAGCAACCTCATAATATTTGATCAAAGATGTGGCTTAACTTCAGAATTTGAACTAAAATCAGTATTCTTGTGATTGCTCTGAACATTTCAGACTGAGTTCAACAAACAATAATTTACTTTTTAATAAACGTAAAAATAAAAATTCATAAAAACGTAGGTGTGACGGGGTTGAGACTAGGGTAACAGGGTTGAAGAGACAAATACAGCTTAACATATGAGTAGTTGTTTTTTTGCTCAAATTCACTGTAAGATTTTCTATAAGCAATGTATTTTATTATGTTACCAAGAAAAACAACAGATATAAATTGCAATTGCAACTCAGTTTTATTAACCCGACTGCAGGAAAAACAACAATAACGTAGTATACATTAGAACATTATAAAATGACTGAATAGGTCATCAAAATAAAACGTATAACTTGTGTGCTTTTTTGATGTGTGTGTGTGTGTGTGTGTGTGTGTGTGTGTGTGTGTGTGTGTGTGTGTGTGTGTGTGTGTGTGTGTGTGTGTGTGTGTGTGTGTGATTGAGCGTGTGTTGGTGTGTTTTTTTTTTTACATGTGCGCATGCTTCGTGGCAAAAAAGTAACGGGGTTGAGTGTGACGGGGTTGTGATTTTTTGGCTAAAAATGGCCACTGCTCTATATGTGGTGAATAACAGGAGAGCACATGGAATGCATGACATTAAGAAATCATGTATGCTTTTGAAATAACAAAGATAATTTTCACAAGTAATATAATTCTATCTTTATTTGATGTAACAGGGTTGAGTCGTTGAGCTTGACAACCACAATATCACAATTCTAAATAAGTTATAGTTATAAAAGTAGTTGGTAACTTGCCTGTGTCTGCACACAATGTTGTTCAGAAGACTTCTATGATGTTACTTCCTGTTGTTGATCTCACATAAGGATCTGTTCATTATTTTTATGGGGGGAGAATGATGTGTGTAACGGGGTAGAGGGATTACTGAGGGACGGAACTAAATAATGTGATTTTAATGAATAATCATGATTTTTTTTTTTTTTAAACCATTACCAGCAAAAAAGCACAGATAGATATTCATGGGAATGGCAAAATGTATGGACTTTTTTCTAATTTTATTATTCATATTCCAAGTACACTTTCATAGAAGGCCATGAGAGACATGACAAAATAGGTGGTGTCAACTGAAAAATCAAGATAATTTCTAATATAAAGATAAAATGTTTGTCATTATTTTTAAACTCTATTAAAGGAGACATTTCAATTGATACAAAAAGCTTTTAATAATAGATTTTGGTGACCCAATAGGTAAAATACACTTAAAAAGGTCAGAGGGACTCAAATCGTACCGGTTTCGTGGAATGACTCAGTTAATTGTTGGAAAGGTAACAGGGTGGACACAACCTGTACTGTAAAGAACTTAAATATGAGACCCCTGATGCACTCAGATTTATAGGTTCTCTCAGCTATTCAATTAAAATGGCCGCATGGTTTAATGTTAGTGGACTATGACCATCAAATGACCAGGTAGACAATCTAGTGATTTGATTTATAATGTGTGAATTTAACCATATCTCAATATCTTACCAACGATTACAAATATGGGTAAAGGAACTCGTTGAATCCACTTTCATGAATTTGAATTTTTTTCAGAAAGGCTTTATAAATCGTTTCCACAAATTAATTCTGCTCGCGTTTCATGATTGAGGCCCTTTGTGTTCATCTGAAGAGAGGAAGTATTATACAGTGGATATAAGTCTCCTACGCACCACTGTTAAAAAAAAACCCCAGCTGTTTTGTGAGGTAAAAATTAAAACAAAGATTAATCCTATCAGAGCTTTTGCACCTTTAATGTAAAAAGTGTACAAGCACGTATTAAAGTTAGTTGGTATGCGCTTTTGAAGGATTCAGGCCTGAGAGAGTTTATCTTGCACAATAGTCACAACATGACTGCCCTCTTGTGGTTCTTAGAGACATTATCTGCACAGAGATATTTGCTCTGCTTTGGAAAATCCTTTATTTGTTCTGTTCACTTAGTGTTCCCTGTCATTAGTGTTGTCACTACCGGAATTTCCAACTTCAATATGATCCCTTGAAAAATATCGATATTAGATACAGGGAAAACTGCCATATATATATCACCATAAAGACAATTTATCTCACATTTTTTTGATAATGTGGGTAATTTTGTTGTAATAGCTCACACACAGCACGAGGCTTTATTTGAATCTTTGAACAAGATTTACAAAAAAGTTTTTTTTTTTTTTTTATTAAACTCAGAATAAATAAACAAATTGCAAACGATAGCAAATAAATAATGAAGAGACAAAGGAAACAAACACGGCTTTAAGTTTTTCGTGGTGAGTCTAACAGCATTTAGGTAAGAAATACTACAGAAATGAAAGTAACAAATGTAAAAACACTGGATAGTTTCTGTTGTAAAAATTAAATAAAGATTAATGCTTACAATTAAAGTTACAAAAAAGATCAGTGATTTTCTCTTTGTCTTTTCTTTTATAAACATGAAACTTTAAGAGCTTATACACAGATCCAATATACTGTTATACAACATGCCTTTTCTCTCAACTATTTGCGTTCCAAAACTGACTGTGTTTGCATGAATACTCGGCATTTTGACATAATTGTGCATGTATTTGACTGTTTAATTGAAATAAGCCACGAAAAAGTCGTCAATTTGGTACTCGTGAGCTGTTTGAGAGGCGGCTTTATGAGAGAGCAACTTTGGTGATATCGGGTCAAATGAGAAGGTCCTCACTGCAGAACATGAAATCCACGGGGAGGAGTCGGATCGAGATGCAACTCCTCCCACCTTACATATACCTTAACCTGCCCATCTCCGCCCCCTGATCCCTAAACCCACCCCTAATCCTACCCATTTCCACCCCTTGGATCTTGATCCGACTCCTCCCCGTGGATCTCATGTGCATTGAGGTGCTACTGGGTCAAATGGGCCATTTAAGGTTTGGGGCAATGACTGCAAAGGATTTCAAACTGTTGTCATAACTGTGCTTGACAAGTAACAGGTGATTTGATTGGTTTATGGTTGCTATGGTGGGCGGGGGAATAATTCAAATCAAGATTACACCAGAAAGCTGCATGGTAAGTAGTATGGCATACCAAATCTAACTAAACTATCATAAGGACGATAAATCTATAAAAGACAGAGACAGGAAGTGAGAGAACAGGTGAGGAGAAAGGAATGCAGAGGAAATGAGAGGAGACAGAGAGAAGGAGCAAGGACCAGAGAGGAAAGGATACAAAGATAAAACGAGGAGGGAAAGGAAGGACAAACAACAACTACAATCTGTGGAAAGTTGAGGGGATGAAGAGGGCATTAGATGAATACAGGGAGGGAGTGAAGAAAGGAATTACAGTGAGTGTGCACCTCTTATCACGAGCATGGGGTGTGCCGCGATCCACACTGCAAAGACGCCTTCCACCTTCACAGTAAGTGATATTTTATACTACTTTCAAACTTAGGTTACATGACATGTTACACAAGCATGCTCACGCAAACATACGCATGCACGCACACACGCACATACACACAATTTAGTCCCTAATCATATACAATGTACACCAAATAATTATTCTATTTCTTGCAATAACATATAGTTGGGGGCCTTAAGCACATAAATAGGTAATTTCGCGCAAAATTTGGCACAAATGTGGCTCAGGTCATATCGAAATGATTTAGCTAGGGCGCCGGAGCCAGCGACCCTCGGGGCCAAGATGGCGGCCAAATCCAATAGCCGCTGCCCGAAAAGGGTTCCGGCTATAACTTTTGAACCACATGAGTTACAAATACAAACTTATGTTTTTCAGCTTAATTGATCATGAGAAACACATAGGAATGATTATATTTATGACCCAGTATATCTGGACCCCTTGATCCTCCAATTCCAATATGGCCGCTGTCCAAAAAAGCAGTTTGGGCTGTAGTATAGGGCCTTACACCCCAGTGTTCGCGCAAATTCATCTACAAGCACCAAATTTGGCACAGATGTAGCTGAGGGCATTCTGAAATGATTTAGCCAGGGCGCCCGAGCCAATGGTCCCTGAGACCAAGATGGCTGCCAAATCCAACGTGTAAAGGAGTCAAAACAGCGGCAGGAATTCCTTGGTTACACACAAATGAAGAACTGCTGCAAGAAGAGGCGGTTCTAAAGCCTGTACCGAACTGTAATTGTTACATCCACCTCTGGACTCCTGTGCTTTTGCATTGTAAAGTTCTTTTCCCAGTGTGCTTTGCCTGTGCTCATGATTGTTGTGATTACATTCAGCTGTGTCTTGTAATGTTAATGTTTCCCTTTATAAGCCCTTCCTGTGTTCTTTCTCAGGTCTTTTCTTTTGTGGGATGTTGTGTTGTTCCTCAGTTCTGCTCCTTGGTTATCTGGATTTTCTTTTATTTGCTTGGTTGGTTGTTTTGTTTGATATTATTCTAGAAAATGTTCTCTGCGCTTGGATCCTGCCTTCTCTCGTCTCTGAGAGCTCGACGTAACAGTAATGAGCAATGTAACTTCATATGCTTGAGGATCTGTCCATGTTAGGGTCGCATCTTGTGACATCACATCCAGTTTTTGGTTAGTTTAGATGTCTTGGATGTTAGTTTAGGTCCGTGTTGCGATCGTATTTCAGATGAACCACACTAGAGTTCATTTGGAAGCTGAAATGTGGTTCTTGGTCTGCTTGTTTGGTGCGCACCAGGGTTCAGATAGCGTTCACACCTTCAAATAATCGCACTAACAAAACAATCACACTAGAGTTAGTTTCAAACCAGACCTGCCAAGTGTGAACACCCTAAAACAAACATATGTCACACAACTGGAGGAATGTGCCACTTTTCCTCTACAGCGAGAGCACTTAAAGAAAACCGAGACAACACAAATGCATACATTTTCTTTAATACATACAAAGATATAAATAAGTTAGTGATTTTAAAAAGCAGCGTCTATACAAAACTAAAAAATATTTTTTTATAAGATCTAACATTTATCATTTAAGGCATCTAGAAATAATAATAATAATAATAACACACTCATTGCATGACCCTGCCTTGCACATTCTCTGTGTTTTCTACATTCATTTGTTCCCAGAACAACCTAATCTCAGAATCTACATCATTACAGTAATATGAATGTCAATTGCAACTGGCCTTTGTCAGTAATCCTGAAGTAGTTAGAGTAATAACAGAAATTGTATTATCAAAAATGTTTTTGTGAGATGATCTGAAGTGATTACAGTTCCATATGGCACTATGGAAAGTTAGACCTGGAATTCTGGTCCGATCCATTTACTAGCAGTCCGGGAAATGGTATGCTTTATCTCTTGTGTACATAATCTATAGCAAATACAGCTGATTGTCCACCAATAAGAGGAGTATGGGTAAAGACTAGAAGGGTGAGGGACTTTATGGACAAAAATTAATAGCCTATGGTAAAATGCACTCAAGGTGGTGTCTTGGCACCCATCACAAATCAGTCTCTCTGTCTCTGTCATTCTTACTATGCAAAGGCACTGGACTATAATCACAGTCTATGGTCATCTTAATGCTTGGCTTCAGTGTATTAGTGTCTTTATGAGTGGAGGAGCTCTTAACCCCTTGGTCTTTCTTTCTGTCCAGCCAGTAGAAGGACAACATGATGAAGAGACCAGCTGTGGACCCGGTTATGCTGCAGGCAAAGAACACATAGGCGTATTGCCTAGTGGTGTCAACCAGGATTCCTGTAAAAAAAAAAAAAATCATAATAAGCCACATAAATTACTTTTAAGTCGATCCCTGAAATAGTTAACTGGCCATTTCTCAATGGCCTTTTTTTTTCAGAATATTTTCCCATTCATTTTCTTCATGTGCCACATGCACAAAGGAAAATGCATGGGTGAAATAAAGTATAGTGTGTACTGAACGTGATAGTTAGTTCATCCAAACCTGAATGAGTTCTTTCTTCTGTTGAACACAAAAGAAGATATTTTAAAGAATGTTGGTAAAGAGTAAGTTGATGATAGCCATTGACTTCCATAGTATTTTTTCCTACTATGGAAGTCAACGGCTATCATCAACTGTCTGGTTACCAACTTTCCTTAAAATGTTTTCTTTTGTGTTCAACAGAAAAAAGAAACTCATATAGGTTTGGAACAACATGAGGATGATTTTTTAAAATATAATTCTTATTGTGATATTGTAATTTCAGGAAAGAAAAAATAATATAGACATAATTGAAATGCAGGACACTGCCTACTACTTGCAGGACGCAGGAACAAAGCTCCTAATTTCAGGACTGTCACCCTACTCTAGGGAGCTTTTTTTGCTCATGCAAGACCAACTCCTATCTACACGTATGAAGAAATAGCTCAATTTTAACAACAGCTTGACAAACTCGCATTTAAATAAACATTTTCAAATCGGCAATCAAATCTGACATGAGCTGTCTCATAAATGTTGTTTCTTACATCAAGTAGCATTAAAAGTCCTAAAAGCTTGCTATGGGAACTGAAGCTTTATCAACAGCTACTGTGTGTACAATGACTTTATCAATTGGCGATTGGCTCTTTTATTTAGAAAGCGGGGCTTATTCCGCCATATTGCACGTTCCAGTTTCTCCCATTCGTACTAATACGAGTGAACCGTCTTGGTCAGAGCCGGACAGTAACGGAGTACATTTACTTGAGTACAGTACTTAAGTACAATTTTGAGGGATCTGTACTTTACTCGAGTATCATTTTTGGGGAGTACTCATGACTTTACTCAAGTACATTTGAGAGGCAAATATTGTACTCTTTACTCCAATACATTTCTATCCATAACCGTGAGTACCCGAGTAAAAAAAAAAAAAAGTAAAAAAAAAAATCTCGGACACCCTCAATTTGTTGTTTCCCTCTCAAACGTGATTGGATTGTGCAGGCACCACTGATTGGGACAGCCTATCAGCAATCACTTTCAGCTTTCCGCCAAAGTCAACTCCATGGTCAGATTTTATATTACACCTTAATGTAAGCCAAGCATTTGGTTTGATGTTCTTGAGTATGTGGTGTGTTTAACACAGATGTGGCAGTGGTGTAGCCACGAGGGATTTCTGATTTCTTAAAAAAAAAACTTTAGGAGGCAAAATATATTTTTACTGATTATGTGAATTACACTGCGCAAACCAAAGTAGGCTACTACCCAGTGAATGAAGAAGGGTTGGCGCTCAGTCTCCACAGTACATAAAATATTAATTTTGTTTTATTTTATTTTTCGGGTTTGTATTTATGAGGAAAAAACAATGTTATGGACGTGTTCTCCGTTACGGACGTGAGCGCTCTGAAAGCGGCATAAAAAATGCTTTAAAACTTTCACAGAGACATCAAACAGAAAACACAAAACCTTTCTTTAACCTGAATTTCGTTTTGCATTAATTGTATCTTAATTTTAATCAATGTTTCATCAACCAATTGCCTGGGTTTAATAAATAAGAAGTAAATAGCAGACGATAGATAAGAAACGGAGGCGCCGGCACGTGAACTGGATCTCGTCTTATAAATGAACCGAAACTCAGCGTATAAGGTAGCCTACTTGCCTCTCACAGACATGTCTACTTTTAAACAGAAAAATTCAAAACGAAAGAAAACAGACTACAGACTGCTCTCTGCTTATTGTAATCTGTATGAAATGTGCATTTCTCTCTGGCGCGTTCACTACTGAAGATCGCGAGCCAGCATCGTCAACTTCATCTTAGCCGACACTGACAAAGAAAACACTTGTTTATTAACAAGTGTTTATTAATAAACAATTAAAATATCTCCTTGCTATATTTTACATATTCATAATCATTCCTTTTGCCGGTTCTTTGTGACAGCTTTTAGGTGCTTTATTGGCAGTGCCACCCTTACATGTGGTGTGTGTGTGTGTGTGTGTGTGTGTGTTGTCCCCGCATTTAAGATGGGACCCCCCAAAAATTTTATTAAATTAAATAAAGCAACATGGTAAAAAGATGAAAATGACTTGATTTTACTTTCAATTCCTTTTACATTCTCCAAGGTATTAACATTAACATTTTTGATAACTCCATGTAGGACGTTTCTGTGCATAAATGTAAGCACTGTGGCAGTAGATTAGTAATGCAATATTTAGAAAATTTACTCTTGTACTCTTGATACTCAAGTACTTTTAAAAACAAGTACTTTAGTACTTTTACTTAAGTAGACATCTGAATGTAGTACTTTTACTTGTACTTGAGTAAAATTTAGCAAGGGGTATCTGTACTTTTACTCAAGTAACAAAGCTCTGTACTCTGTCCGCCTCTGGTCTTGGTATAGTCTTTGATATAGTGCATGAGTTGGGAGTCTACATAGTGCCCTAGAGGAACTACATTTGTTATTTGTTGTTGTTGTTCCTTTAGGAGCTTGAGAGCTCATTGCAATTGTTTTATGGAAAAGAGCACCATGTAAAGTGTAAGTACTTCCGAAAAAAAATCACATGAGTTTAAAACAACATGAGAGTGAATATTTGCTGGCCTTGAAAAATACAAGCAGGCATTCCGCTTTCACCCACTAATAAATGAAGTACGTCAAACGAACGTCAGAGACATCACTGTAGAAACATTACATCACCTGCTAATGGTGGGCCAAGCAGTAGCATGATGCTCTCCATAATGCTGATGAGGCCCAGGGCGGATGGGAAGCGGCTCATCTCGACCGTGTCCATAAGTACGGTGAACAACAAGGAGCCAATAAGGCTCATAGAAAACCCAAACACTATAACATACGCCAGCAGTACTGAAAAACTTGTTCCCATCCCACAGATGCAGTTGCTCAACCCGTTGATCAGCACCGCCGTGGCAAACAGATAGGCAAAGCAATGGCTTCCTCGGAAACGAGGCAGCCCGAAAACCAGCGCTGTCGCGGGCCGAACGATGATGTTGATCAATCCGAGGATGGCCATCAGTAGAGCGGCTCGGTCTTGCTCCATACCGTACGCGGTGGCATAGGGAACCAGGTAAACCAGGGGCACCACGAAGCCCAGCATCATCCAGGACACCCCAAGAGCATAGGCACGGAAGTATGGGTTACTGCACAGTAGGTCAAAAGCCATGTGTCTGCGCAGGAAAGGCATGACGGTGGAGAGAGTGGCCCGTAGACGGCCCTTCAGACCCTCTCTTTCCTGATGAACGGGAAGGCAATTGTTTTTGAGGTGGTGATTGTCCGTAGGTCCGTTTCTGCCGTCTGTCTTTGGTTTGGCCCCAAGGGGGCGCATCACGGCCCCACAAACGCAACAGTTCAGCAGAACCCCTCCCAACACCAGAAAACTGCCCCGCCAACCGAAGCTGCTGAGCAGATAGTTGGCCAGCAATGGTAGGGTGCTCAGCCCGAGTGCAGTGCCAGTGGAAGACAGAGCGTTGGCGAATGCCCTGCGACGCACAAAGTAGTGGCCCATCATGGTGATCGATGGCTGGAAAGACAAAGAGAATCCCATTCCTAAAGGAAAGATGATAATTCAGTCCATTTCATGTGGTTCATCCCACTGAGCAAGAATCATTTTCACACGACTGTTTCTCTGAAGGCAATATATACCCACCTGTGATAATGCCAGCAGTGATATACAGCTCTACTATTGTCTGTGCAAATGAGCTGGCTGCCATTCCCAGTCCGCCCAGGATCCCGCCGATGATTATTGTTGCACGGCAACCGTAGCGTTCCACGAGAACACTACATAAGGGGCCTACGGAAAGACAATGGCATTGTAATATGAACAATAATGAACATGGTTGGTTACGGTGTGCGCACAACAGCTGCATTGACTTACAGATGATCCTCACGCTCCCACATATGCAGATGATGACAAACCATTTTTTTTTTTTTTTTACATACAAACCACTGGCTATTTACGTTTGGTATTAGAACACTATATATATGCAAATTAAAGTTAATTCATTGTATTTGATAGGCTTTGACAGGCTTTGAAATTTGATTATGGAATTAGGCTGCCATTTCAATACAGTAATATTGTACTGCCCTCCTGAACATGGGCTGGATTTATATAAAGACCCGCACATGGTTAGAGAGTCAGACTGGTAATGGTCATGGGTTTCAGGAAGTGACTGAAGTGCCCTTGAGCAAGGCACCAAACCCCCAATCACTCCCCAGGCGCCAGGGCAGAAATGGCCCACTTGACGTAAGACGCTGCTGACGTGTTATCTGGTGCGCCCGAGCTTTGTTTACAGTCTGAGGGAGACGTACGCTGTAAACAAAACAATCTTCGCAAACATGTCTAAGGATTTCGACACAGAGGAAGACTTGCTTTTTTTGCCCAGCCATCTTTATTTGAACCCGAATACACGGACGCACTAGATACACGTCCCTGAATGCGGATTGACAACAGAACCGGAAGAGAATACAATGCTGAATAAAGTCGTAGTTTTTGTTATTTTTGGACCAAAATGTATTTTCGATGCTTCAAAGCTCTCAGACTAAATCTAAAATATCTTAAACTGTGTTCCGAAGATGAACGGAGGTCTTAAGGGCTTGGAACGACATGAGGGTGAGTCATTAATGACATAATTTTAATTTTTGGGTGAACTAACCCTTTAATATAAGATAGTACTGCAAAAAAAAACAGTGTAAAGCTATTCTATTGCTGAAATATTTATTGTCCAACATTCCCAATTATCTGATAGACTATAGCATATTCTTTACTTAATTTTATATGTTGGTATTAATTCAGTGTTTGTAATGTAGCTCTGTATATTTCTCTATGGGATCGCTGTCAAAGAGTATTTAGCTGGGGAAGTGGATTTACTTATTGTAAAGTTGACAAAAGTTATCATGAGCATAAATTACATCAAGTACAGTATTAAACACAACATTTTTAGTAAGTACTTAGTAACTTATACTGGAATATTTTTTTTTTATAGTGATCCTCCTGGTCCTGCCCCAAACTCACGCCATTGGTTGACATTTTGACACGACTCAAAACAAACTGACATGTCCTGACATTGTTTACTTTTCATGAAACAAGCCTATAAGGCTAACTTAGGGCTGTCTTTGCACATTAATCGATTGAGTAATACCTAAGTGGGTAGCCTATCATATCAAGAGGGAAAATGAGTGTCACACAATATCATACTTTTGCCCCTTTTCCTTTTGTTTGTAAAACGAGAAACTTGATTTGATGCAACACTTTCCACCCACTGAGCACAGCAGTTAGTATAGTGAAAATTACTTCAAGCTCTTTAAAACCCCAAGGGAGATTGAACATTTGCACCGCTTAAATGAATGCTTTAGGTGTCACGGCACTGTGTGAAAATAAACCAATAGGGATCACCTTAACATTGTCTTTGGCACTAACTTGTCCAGCAGACCGCAAAGAGAAAGGGTTGGAAAGACAAATAAACATTTCTCACAGAAGAACGATGGCATATTGGCTGTTCCAGAGCTAGATCAGCAATATAATAGCAATAGCAACCTCCTGCCTGACTCAGAGCTGACTCTCCCTATGCAGTGTTCACTACTCCCTACACACTCAGCAAGCAATATTTGTATATGTTCACTATGCATATACACCGTTTGTATATTCTACTGTTATGTAACCCATGCTAATGGATTGTAATAGTTGCATAGTGTCCTTTGAACTCAGCCACTGCTGCCTAGTAACGATTTCTGAGCTGCATTAAGCTGAATAAAAATGCCAATCCCCAAATACTTTTCTCCACGTCAGCTATTCTTTGAGTTGTACCGCAATGACTGGATGAATTTCCGTGATGTGAAGTGATATAACACTTGTTTCTAATGCAGCGTCCTGACTGAGCATGTGTACTCCTTATGATTTAGAATCACACTTAAAGGGTTAGTTCACCCAAAAAGGAAAATTATCCCATAATTTACTCACCCTCAAGCCATCCTAATTGCACATGACCTTTTCTTTCAGCCAAACACAATTGGAGTTGAAAAATATTTCTCTCTCTAATTAAAAATATTTCTGGCTCTTCCTAGCTTTATAATGGAAGTGAATGGTACCTGAGATTTTGAAGCCCAAAAAAGTGCATCCATCCATCATAAAAGTAATCCATGCGGTTCCATGGGTATAATAAAGGCCTTCTGAAGTGAAGTGATGCATTTTTGTAAGAAGAATATCCATATTTATAACTTTATAATTATAATCAGTGGCTTCTGGCTGTAAGCGAGTCTAGTTCCCGACGGATGATTTATTGCCGAACGCAGAAGCGCAGAGGAAAGAGCAAAACAAAACACCGGTCATGAATTAGAAGTCTAAAACGAGAATTTTTACAGAGAAATGTCGGAGGAGCTTAAGTTTGTTGCCCAGCCCTATTTGTTTGAACCGTGAGAGGCGTCTACTCTCTCCTAAGCTTACTCTACTCCTACATCCTACGTCATACGTCAGCTCATAGTTCACTCTTCCTCCGGAACTCGATTCACGTAAGGCCGTCACCTGAAGCTTAAAGGGTTAGTTCGCCCATTTAAGACATGAAGTTGTATGCAATCCTTACCAGCACTATAGTGCATACACACTGACCCACTCTGTTGTCACCTCCCTGGTCAGAGTTCTGGCCGCTGGAAGTTTTTCAATAAAGTACTCCCGGTTATTTTCCGGTGCCACAAAACTGTGCTTTTTTACGTGAAAAAATGATTTGCGTTTCAAAGCTTGATTAATTTACCACACAAAAAACACGCCGGTCAAAATTCATACCTCAGTTTTAATCGGCACTATTTTCTATCCATTTCTATCAATCCGCGCTGCTGTCAACAGTGCGCACGTTCCGATCAGCTGTTCCATAGTGTTTAAACAATCGATTGACAACGACGTAAAAAGTATTAAATTAACAATGGTGCGAACTTGTAAATTCCCAGGCTGTGACCACAAGGATGTGCCGGGATTAAAGTTCAGATTTCATCGTTTTCCTGTTTCGAATATAACTATGAGACAGTTTACCAAGCATAATCTCCATCTGCTGTTAGTCGACCTCACCAGCAGGGGGTGCAAGCGCGTGTTGTTGATTTGGCTGGTTGCCATCGGCTACTCTGCGGGAGCTAAAATATCCAAAATAAAGGATTTTCGTGTGTGTAGTGCTCACTTCAGCGAAGACGATTACATCCCCAATCAAGGAGGAAAAGGAAAATTAAAGAGTTTTGCTGTACCAGTACCACGGGTAAGCTCTATTTACTAACTTTATGATCCCATGTCTAAACTGTACGGTAAACAAGCTGATGTTTAGACTCCATTATAAAACACGTGAAAAGATGTCTAATATAAAAACAGCTATAGGGATATTGGTACAATTTGCTGAGAAAACTATTTGATTGAACACACACACAATTGAGGTTTTGTGTTGCAATCAATAACATTGTCGTTGTGCTAAATTACTTTCATCATCTGATCCGTCTGGCATTGTGCTAAAATTGGTTTCATCATCAGAAGTTTCGTAGTCAGACATGTTGTCAGCGAGTCGCGCTATCAACAGCTGATCGGAACGTGCGCACTGATGACGTTGACAGCAGCGCGGATTGATAGAAATGGATAGAAAATAGTGCCGATTAAAACTGAGGTATGAATTTTGACCGGCGTGTTTTTTGTGTGGTAAATTAATCAAGCTTTGAAACGCAAATATTTTTTTCACGTAAAAACGCACAGTTTTGTGGCACCGGAAAATAACCGGGAGTACTTTATTGAAAAACTTCCAGCGGCCAGAACTCTGACCAGGGAGGTGACAACAAAGTGGGTCAGTGTGTATGCACTATAGTGCTGGTAAGGATTGCATACAACTTCATGTCTTAAATGGGCGAACTAACCCTTTAAGTGATTATAGTTTATAAAGTTATAAATAGGGATATTTTTCTTACAAAAACCCATTGCTTCATTTCAGAAACCCTTTATGAACCCCCTGGAGTCCACCATGGATTACTTTTATGATGGATGGATGCGCTTTTTTTGGGCTTCAAAATCTCAGACCCCATTCACTCCCATTATCAAGCTTGGAAGAGCCAGGATATTTTTTTTAATATAACTCTGATTTGTGTTTTTTCTGAAACAAAGAAAGTTTACACATACACCTAGGAAGGCTAAAGGGTGAGTAAATTATGGGATGATTCAAATTTTTGGGTGAACTAACCCTTTAAGACTGCCAAAAAACTTGAGTACAATCCCAGAGTTCAAGAGCACTGGAAGTGAACAGACCACCGCTGTCATCCTCTGACCTCTGTCCCTGTTTATGTTTCACGTTATGAAACAGATCAGTGTTGCACAACTGATTAGTACAGTAACTTGATAGAAGTGTTTTTCAAATACTGTATCTGACCCTGTGGTGAGGGTGAATGCAGGAGCGCCGTGAGGATTGCGTCACAAAGCGTGGATGAACTAATGGATCAAATGCATTAATCGGTTAATTAATAATTAATTCAATTAATAATTAATTAATTCGTTACATTTATATAGCGCTTTTCTGAGCACTCAAAGGACTTTACATGGAAGGGGGGGGGGGGGGGGGGGGGGGGAGGGGAGGGGAGGGGAGGGGGGGGGGGGGATCTCCTCAACCACCACCAATGTGCAGCATCCATCTGGATGATGTGACGGCAGCCATTTGTGCCAGAATGCCCACCACACACCAGCTTACTGGTGGAGAGGAGACAGTGATGAAGCCAATCAGTATATAGGGATGATTAGGACTGGAGGCCATGATGGACAAGAGGCCAAGGGGCAAATTTGGCCAGGATGCCGGGGTTACACCCCTACTCTTTCGAAAGACATCCTGGGATTTTTTTAATGACCACAGAGAGTCAGGACCTCGGTTTAACGTCTCATCCGAAGGACGGATTAGTATCAGAGAACCCTCCCTACCGCCTGCATGCAGCACTGCCATCATGATAGCTGGCACCCATGACGTCTCAGTGTTGCTGGCTTGGAAGTCGTTCTGCAAGTCTGTGTAAAATATCCCGATGCAAGAAGGGAAAGCCAGAGTCATAGCTAAGACCAGAACGGTAGCAGCGACGACCACCCAGCCCCAGCCACCCTCAGGCGCCACATGGACACTGTCCTCTGGTCCTGTAGAGGAATGATGCTGCACCTCTGGATAATTGGAGGATTCCTCTTCCTGGTGGTCCGGCTCCTCTGACTCACAGCTGGCCGTCTCTGCCGGCCCAGAATCTGTTTCTACAGCCCGCAGAGAGGACGTCCTGGTAGCATCAGCCCTGTTTGGCTGCAGGGTCTGATGAATCTCTGCACCCTCCGTCATTGTGTCTCCTCACTCAAGTGCCTATGGGATTAGACAACAAGCTAATTATCATCCGTTTTACAATACTATCTAAAAAAACATATCCTTAAATAGTCTTTTTCTTGTTTATATTATTAGGGCTTGAACTTAAACTTCTCCGGTTTTAAATCTCCACGATGGAAATTGTCACATTCAGCCATCAACCCTGTTCGTTCTGTGGGATTGAGTGCTGAGTAACTTGATGTGCTTTAGATTCATGTTCGTGTCAAACACTGAAAGCCAAATTCTCCTGTGACTATGCAAAAAAAAAAAAAAAGTGGAAAAAATAATATAAATATATTTTTCATTATTTTAATCATTTTCAGTTACAGTGTTTGAGGCATGTTTTATATTCATATTATTATATTATATCATTTTATATTATGGCTGTGTAAATATAAGTATTTTATTTGCCATTAAGGTTAAGATTATATCTATAACATTGTGTGCATATACATTTAGAATATATTTCCATTATTTTAATTAAATTAATTTTACAATATTGTATTTTTTATTCACATGATATTTTTATATTATATTTGTATTATAATGTATAACATTATATAATGGCTGTGTATATGCTATAAATATTTTTAAATATTTTTTGTTATTGGTTATGTCTATACCAATGTGTCCATTTATCTTAGGGTTTCTGCATTTTTGCCTTTTTCATTTAAATTTTTGAACATAATGGAAGTGCATTAGTCAAAACATTTAAATAGTCTTATTCGTCTGTAGTAGCCAATAGATTTCATTCTGACTGTCAATTTTAATCTCAAATTCTCCTCACTTCGAAAAAGTTTTATACCTATAGCCTGCTACATGATCATAATCATGATACTCTGTATCGTATGTACATAGATCGCAGTCTCTTTACACCAGGACAAAATAAAAAGCTTTCTGATTTGTAAAACATCATTGCCGAGTAGGCCTGTAACAAGAATAATTGACGAAAAAATTAATTTGACTGGTCTGATTGATTTATTCTTTGACGCAGCATATGTTTGGCAATACACTGTAGCTTTCAATTTAATCCCACCGGTCACAATAGTGACCGTATTTTTTTTTTTCATTCATAAATGTTACTGAATGATCTATCAATGCATTTCCAGCAGATATTGAAATAATAAAGGGTCTCAATTAAATATGTGCAGTGTCGCAGGTTTACTGTAAATTGTCACATGACCAGAGCTGTTTACTTCTTGTTTGCGCCAAGAGAAAAGGATGGCAGCAAGAAAGCTCCCAAAGAAAAGGTTAGTAAAGTAGGGGAGAGCCGGGACGGTTAAAATACTTTTCAGATAAACGTCGGTTTCTAAGATAAGGTTACAGATAGTTTTTTTTTTTTGTTTTTGTAATCAACAACTCACATGTGTTCTCTTAGTATCATGTGTTATTCGGTACAAATATAAAAAGTGACTTTGAACGGGAGTTGTGCTTTGTTTCAATCGTCCCGCTCAACACAGGGGTACAGATGAGGTCCCAGACAAGGCATGCAGCATTGCAATCATCCCTCAAAATGAAAAAGATGCTGTACTCAGTGATTGTGACAGCGATGGGTCTGACATGGGCTATGAGGGGAATGCATGCAGAAGTTATGCAAACAGAGCATGATTGGAATGATGGCCTCCCCTTCACCACACCCCCTTCCCCTCATCAAAGGCAAACCAATTCGCATTGGTTACAAGGTATGGAGCCTTGCCTCATCCAGTGGATACATGTACCACATGGAGCCATATTGTGGATCGCACACTCTACTCCCAGAGACAGGGTTGGTCAGGGACCCAGCGTTATCATAGGTTTGGCAGAGCAAGCTCATTCATGTGCCTCAAGGTTGCAAGTTCTTCCATGACAACCTCTTTACCACTCTTTCACTCATGGATGAGATAACAAAAAGAGGATATGGGAGCTCTGGAACCATGAGGCAGAACTGCCTGTTTGATGTCCCATTCACACCACTGAATGCCTTCATGAAGTTACCTAGGGGAACCTCTGAGGTTCGGTGCCAAGGAGAGAAGCTGCTGGTCCGTTAGAAAAACTATAACATTGTCACAGTGGCAACAAACATGGATGAAAAATACACTGAGACCTCTGTCAAGAGATGGAACAGGCATCGATGTGGCTTTGACAACGTCCAACAACCAAAATGCATCAGCCGATACAATGAGCACATGGGTGGTGTAGACCTTCACGACCAACAGGTTTCACGATACCATATCTCAATCAGGTCAAAGAAGTGGTGGTGGCCCATCTTTGCATGTTCTATCAACAGTGCTCTTGTAAATGGCCATCTCTTTTACAGAGATGTTATTGGAGGGACCATCGACCTGCTCACCTTCTCACGGATAGTCTCACAGTCTCTTCTGCAAAGGTTTGGAACGAAACCACTGAGCCATGGAAGGAGATCTCTTCTGAGTGCTACCGTTGAAGATCAGGCAAGATACGACAAAGCTTCCCACTGGCCAATACACGATGCACCGGTTCCAGAGATGTCGCCATTGTGAGAAACACACTACCTATGCAAATGCAAAGTACCACTGCACATTGAGTGCTTCAAGCTGTATCATGGAGTGTAGAAGAAAAACAGGAACGACAGGAGAATGCAGTCGGACATAGAGTTCACAAGCACACACACACACACACACACACACAGAGAAACACACTGCACAGGTCAAATAGACCTATATTCAGTCTGTCCAATGGTTGATACAACACAGTATCCCACCGGTCACAATTGTGACACACTTTTGAAACACAATAAAACACACTTTTTCACACACTTTTCCATGAAAATTAAAAAAAAATTATGATAGTCTCAAAGGGATACTAATGACACAGGATTTGGATATTTTTGTGTCTGGGAAAAATTTGGGATTAAATGGGTTAAGTTACATGAAAGTTTCAGAATTCCTCTTTTTTTCAGATCGTGTACTTTCACCGGCAGCATCACGCGCATAGCCTTTAACGCGCGATCAGTTCCCGAATAGCACCGGTAATCCGCACCTGTTACGAAAGTAATTTTTTTTGCGTTTCTACATTTTATATTTTGTTCACTGCATGAGAGCGGTTTGACAAGCTAAAACTTGCACGCGCCGCAGGTTATCGTTTATTTATTTTATTTTTATTTTTTGGCACAGCGTATAGTAGCCTAATTCGTTTAATCATGCACAAAACTGCCTTGACTCCCCGAAACACGAGATAAAGTACCTAGATGATCGGACATCTCACATTTAAACCACCCATCCTAATAATAACGCAAACAAAGCTGAGATAAAGAGATAAAGACACCACACCTGCTCTTATATAGTCTGTCATGAAGTCACCCTCACCAAACTCTAATAAAGCAGCCTGCAGGGTATAAATGTCCGGGTGAATACAACAAAATAACCACCAATATGTTTTTTCCTCACCTTTAGTAGGCTACGTAGATGTCATCTGTGCTTGGTCCTCATCCGCGTGTGTGCTGCTGTTGACCAGTCGCGCGCCCTCTGGCCCGAGCGTGATCAGCGCGAGTGAACGGCGGCGCGCACTGACTAGTGCTGCGCGCGGTAGACGGGATTAGAGAGAGCTCGTGACAGTACTTTATCAACTCCATCATGATTTCTTCATCACTGCCCCTTTACCACGCTATTTACTCTGACGTAATAATTTCAGCCACGTCAATGCGTATATGGCATCGCATCCCAATTATGAGGCTATTTCATAAGATTTTTCTTGATGTAGCCTAGTCCTTCTGACTACTTGGGGTAGGTTGTAGCCTAGAAGTATAGGCAACACCTTGTCAGTTCATTCTTTTAATCCAATCTATCATTTCACTAGCCTATTTTATTATTTAACTGTGAGAAGAACACGTTTTGGTTTTGCTGATGAGTGGGCTACATGTATGTTGTGCATTTGATTGACATAAAACTATTTCAATAGGCTTTGGCTTTCCATATTGGGTGACATAAATGGAAAAGGAGTCCGTTTCATATGATACAGTCAACAAGCAGAAACAGTCACAGCTAGGTGACATTTAAGACATTTTGACTGTCACAGGTCAAATGGCTTTGCCTTATAAAATGTTGGTCATTCACTTCTTATAAACATGTTAGTCAAGATAACATGCCATATGGGGCAGCTGGACATTGGATGGTTTTGGGTTTAGTTAAAATATAGGCTTTGTAAATAATTATTTCAAAACATCTGGGCATCTGAAGTGTTGCTGTTCTAGGTGGTTTACTCCCCTTAAAAGTTGTTTATTCAGGCGTGCTGCTTCTTAAGAAAGTATAGCCTACTTCCAGTCTACTTTTTATTTACTTCTCAGAATGTTCCTCTCAGAAAAATACTTAAAATTGCACTTAAGGATAGTCTAACAGAAGTTTGTTTGGCCTATGCTTGTACTCAATCTTTTGATCGAGATACAAAGTAATTAATTATTACTGTTTAGTTGAGTTTATTTTTTTGATTGAGTTGCCTATTAAATATCCTACTTTTTTCACAGGCTAGTTTTACATACTGTCTTATAAACTTGCATTGTTTGTAAATATTGATTTATGAAGCAAACAGGTGTTCTTAATTCTGAGTATCTGGCAAGACACTATACAGGCAAAAACAGTGGATCATGGATCTGTCAATTTTGAGATTTTGGCCTTTTCATAAAGTGTTTTTTTCCAGACTAGTGGAAAGAAAACATCCAAAATACACTTTTAACTGTATCTTTTAGAGCACTTTATCTATTTGCGTCTGTAGATTTCAATTACATCTGTAAAGGCCGTTTTCTCAAAATGAGTTTTCCCTGCTTGAGCCAGAAATCTCCACTTTAGTACCACTTACATACAAAACTTTACAGTTTTATCTATATTCTGAAGGATTTTACAGAGGGGTTTGTTCATATATAATTTGTACATTTTATTCCTAAAAAAAGGGTGAAAATGTATTTATTTTTTGGCTGTTGACAGTATTTTCTGATTTATGGAATGATAAAAAGAGATCCAAAATACCCTCTGTAAAAACCTTTGAC